TGTTCTGAGAAAAATATAAGGAACACACCAAACAGCCTAGCATAATACAGTGAAAAGCTGCAGGTGACATCTTAAAAGTGAAGACAAAAGCACTCACACTTTTTTCCTTGTCACTTTGTCCACACCGAATCAAACGGCTCTCTGTAGAAAAAATGGAAACTTGAACAAGCATTTAAACATAAAACTGATGAGATAGTAAGACTAATGAAGAGGGATGCCAAAATCCCAGTCAACTCAGTTAGTTCAAAACCAAAAACAACAAAAAGCCATTTATCAGGTATGGGAGGGCATCACACAAATTGTTCTTAAGCATCCTATGAATATTTACCATACTTTCTCAACTTCAAGGCATCATCAATTTCAAGACAGGCTCTGACTTAGTAACAACTCTCCTGAGAAAAGTAAAACACTAAATACCTTGAATAGTGAAAGGCTCTCTATTATTAATACTTCTGAATATACATCCTGAATTCTGAAAATTTAAATTAAATGAAAAATGAAATGTGCAAGCAGTATGTTGTGATACCATATAGTCATGGCTTTATTTTTTTTGAAATAAAGCAGCTACCTCAGCAGTGATGCTGGAAGTAAGAAAGTGAGCAGTTGTGGATTTGCTGCTGAAAGGAACACTTTTTGCTTCCCTTGATTCAGATGAAAAAATAATGTGAAACCGATACTTCCTTTGGGATATTTACTCTTAAAACTGAATGTCTGGCAACAATTCTTACCTAATTATGTATTCTGGAGACCTGATTCAAGGTGAGGGGAGAGTGATCTAACTCTGCTGTCACCCCCATCCTCACCTACTCTGGGAAGGGCCAACATCACCATGCATGGATGCAAAGAAGAGTTAAGACCCTATCACGTGGTTAAGCTGCCCACCTACCCTAGAAACGTAATTAATCCTGCCTTTTCTCTGGAATCCTCCTAGACCAGTTTTTAAATAAGAATCTATATCATCAAAGTATTGAAACGAAAAAAGTATGATTCCTAAATGGGAATGAATTTGAAAATGGAGTTAGAAAAAAACAGATGTTAGAAGATAAGAAAGACGTGACATAGAAAAGCAAATAACGATGTTCTAGGACAAAGTGAGAAGAAACTAAGTTTATGACATAAACATTATTGGGGAAAATTAATGCAAGTGTACAGTTCAAAACCTCACTATTTGAGTTAACACTTTTGAAGCAGGGGCATAGCAAAGGTAGTGGAAAAAGCAGAACAAATGTGAGAAATATTTGGGAGTTGGAGCCAGCTAGATTTGCAGGGGGCCAATTCAAGGGGAAAGTCAAGAACGCTGGGGGATGCCAGGCCTGGGTTGTCACAGAACACTGATGTCATTAAAAGAAACAAAGAAGGCATGGGAGAAAGAGGTTGATTTTGAGAAAATAGGTAAAAATAAACTAACTGCTTCTTTCTTATCACTTTTGGCATATATAAAATAAAGGTTATTGGTGACAAGTACAAATTCGTACTTTGGAGATCAGGTCAAAATTTTGTGTCTGTATGTCTTTCAGTTTTTTATTTGGCTTGTTTTATTAACCAAGGAGGAAAAAATGTTGTAGATATTCAGTTTATGTTGAAAGCAAGTCATTTCTGTGTATAAAAGTCCATGCACTGGTCCTACCTCAGCAAACTTGTTGACAGGCGAAAAACTGTTCATCAAGAACAATATTTTTATCAAGAGCCTAATTTTGATTTGCACTTCCATCTTGTGGCAAGATTACATCAAATTCCTTTGTGAAACCTATGGCTACAATAGGCTTTTTGGTTTCAACCTGAAGTTTCTTTTGTTATGAGGCCCACATTAAAACCACACACTTCAGACAGGTTTTAAAATTGCATATTTTTCTCCCAAAACTTGAACTAGAAAATCAGGACTAATGGTCTGTAACTGATATTTCACATCTCTGCCTTTGTTTCTGGCAGTGCTTCCCTCTCCACCTTGGAACCATCAGCCGCAGAATGTATTTAACAGATTAATTGTAACAACAACAGTGTGGACGGTGCTCATTTGCTTCTGTTCTTTGTTGTTTGCTGCTCAGCCTGGGATTCTCCCCAAGCTGACAGTACGAGGTGATTTGGGAAGAATCTCTGACCTTTGACATCAGACAAGCCTAGGTGAAAATGTCATCCTGCTCTGTGTATTCTCCTCCAGGTCACTTAGGCTCCTTATGTTTAATTTTTCACATCTTTAAAATGGAAATTGTGCTCTTGTCTTTTCTAGCTTAGTAAATTCACTGAACATTATAATAACAGTGGTTAACACTATGGTCCAAGGAAGTAGACGTCATATTTTGGCCATGCATAGTAAAAAGCAGGTTATCTCCTCAGTTTGCTTTGTAAGATTGAGATAACAAAGCCAGCAATTCTATTTAGCATTCAATAACTATTCATCAATGATGAACTAGGTACTATTCTAGACCCTTAAAAAGTTATGAAATCATGTGAGATGATACGTGTGAGGGGTAGGTTATATTATTGTGCCCATTTCTGTATTCCCTGACTTTGTCCATCTTCCTGCCAGTGGAAAATACTTCCCTGCCCCGTTTTCAGGCTCCATCACATAACTTACTCTGACCAACGGACAAGAGCAGACATGGTGCCTACCATGTCCCAGCAGAAGCTTTAAGTCTGCTCTCTCTTCCCTGCCTCTACTTTGACAGCAGCATGTGTCACACAGGGACTTGGTCCTTCAGCCTTGGACCCATATAAATAGGGCACATGGGGCAGAAATACATAGTTTAGAGCTACACAGAATTATGCAGAACTACAAACAAGAAATAAATATTTTTGCTGATACTGTGCTACACTAACCAATACTTAAGAACATGGAATAAATGCTTGTATTTGTAAGAAACTGAGATTTCACTATAAAAAAATCAACCTGACACATGACATCATATCTTACATGTAGAAATACTTAATATTTTAGCAATAAACTAAAATATATAAAAGTTTATAAACACAAAGAAATTGACATCTAAGCAACATTTGTTGAGAACTACTATGTGCCAGATGCCATTTAAGCTGCTGGTAAGGCAGTGAATAGGTAAGATTTGTGCTCTCATGCGGCTCACGTTATTGTGGGGAAAAATAGAAATTTAACTGTAAGAGGGATACATGTTGTAAAGTAATAACAGGGCAAGGAGATGGAAAGTATCAGAGAAAGAAAGACGGCATTTCTGTCTCTGTGTGTGACTGTGTAGTGTTCTGAGAAGACTTGATTAACCTCTGAGCAGAGATTACAGAGAAGTAAAGAGCCAAGTGGGTATCTGGGGAAAGCATATTCCAGGAAGAGGGAAGAATAGCTGTAAGAGCCCTGAGGCATAAATGAGTTGCAGTGGTCAAGACTTAGTCAAGAGGCCTTATAGTTGAGAGAAGTCAATCAGAGGCACCCTTCCACCCTACTGGAAGGTGAAGTCAGAGAGGGATGAAGGAGCCAGTCATTTATTTCTTGGAAGCTTTTGGAAGAAGTTTGGCTTCTTTTGCTCTAAATGAGATATGATGGTTGTAGGAAAGCTCGTAATGACAGGGTGACATGATCTTATCTAATCTTGAAAAGGATCATTCTGCCTGCTGTTTAGAAGACAGATGATATGGTTTAAGGGTAAAAGCAGATGGATCACTTAAAAAGCAATTGCAGTAATTCATTCAGAGCAAGGCGGCATGGACCAAGGGAAGGATATTGACAGTGATAACATGCAGTGAACTCTGGATATATCTGAAGCTAGTGGCTGACCAGATCTATAAATTAAGAATAAGAAACTAGAAATAAACTATCATTTAATTAGATAAGGAGGCATAGAGGAATGACAAAATTGAGGTACAATTGGTAATCAAGAATTTACTTTTAGACATTGAGAGTTAGGGTGAACTTGTTCAATTCTGATTTTCTTCTTGCTGCCATTCTAGAAAAGGATTTGGGTTTCTGTCAAGTTCTCTGGGCACTACTGCACTGAGTGGTTACGGTAGTTAATCCTGCCAGAATGATGAGGTAGAAGATCAAAGCTGTGTCACATTGCTACGAGAGAAAGAAATGGAATCCAGCCCTCTCATTATGTCTGGGGAGGAGCTCTGACGAATAATGCTATTGTCATGTTCTCAAAGCTGAGGTTAAGTTTTGAGCATATGACAATGCTTTCTACATAGATTATTGCAAATGATTTTTAAATATGCAGCCTCTGATCACTCTAGGAAGAAGAATACTATGCCCTTCTTGTAATGTATTTTAAGAGCCTCAAGCCACACTGCCAGAATCAATCCCCAAGACCTTGACATCCAGTCCTACTGAATCATTAAGCACAGAGAGGAATGCTTCCACTGGGATGTATTTACTTTGTGTTATTTTCCCTACCTATCATTGAAATTCCTATTAGAAATCGAAGTTGAGATGTTGAGTAAGTGGTTAGTCTATGTCTTCAGTTCAGGAAAATTCTTGAGAATAGAAATATATGTATCTGTGAAACATGCATGAGTTTGTTAATGGAAGATGTACAACATGGAGAGAAAGTGGTTGACAACCATTTTAAAGAATATGTATGCATGTGTATATACATCTATGTATACACGTGTGTATATGTATATGTATGTACATACACGTGTGTGTGTGTAGTCTAGCCTGAGAATAAAACACCACTGAAGGTAACTAAGAGGTTCACAAAATCTCAAAAAAAATGTAATTACAAGGCAAACAATTTGGTTATTAAAACCCCTCAAATATAATGGAATTACAGTTTAACTTCAGACATGATTTATTAATATTTTGTATGTGATGAGAAACAAACATAACTGATCCAACCTTTTTACCATCTTTGCAAAAATTCCAAGGTTAAGTACAAGCAAAGATTTATAGTAATCTCTTCCATGGATAATATATTTGATAGAATATAATTGAGTATACTTTAGAATATTTGTTGAAGTGAAATGTTGATTTCCTTGGTGAGTTTTTTAACTAAACAGGTTTGAAAATAGTCATATATTGAAATATGCTTTTTTACAAGGATAGAGGTTATAGCCCATAAAAAACAGATCACCAACTGCAATCCCTCCTGTGAAGCCATCTCCCACTGAAGTCTCTAACAAATTCTAAGGACGATATAAGTGATTTCTTGTCACTATATAAAAACTCATTTATAGAATTTCATTGCTGAAAAATAATTTGGAATTTACCTAAAAAAGTCTCTTCAGAACCATTAAAAGTACATCTTGCAATAGTCTCCCTAAGTACGCAACTCGTGTCTCTCCCTGAATACTACTAGTAACAAGCCCATACAAGACTGACATCTACTTCTCTCTACCTTCAACCATTATTTCTACACTTGCCCAGTTTTCTTCTAATCCCTTAAACATTAAAAGGAAAATTATTGGTCCCTTTTCCCACCTTTGCCCTAATAGTTCTTCTGTTTCCAAGTTAAACCTCTTCATCCTTTAAGAAATCTAATTTGCTGTCAGTGGTACTTGCTGGAATGTACATATCGAAGAGCTTTAAAATTTCTCTCACATAGACCTTATTCTGTAACACTTAATGAAGCTGGCTAATCACTTTAAATCTCCTTCGGAACCACATTAATCACAGTGCACTCAGATGACATCTGTGCTGCTACAAGAGCTGCAATGCCACCAAAACTCTATTAAAATATGAAATACTGACAAACCACAGCAGTATACAGCAGATTGTGATTAGGGTTGAGATTTACTATAACAGAATTAATCATGATGAATTATTTTAATACTTATGCAAATAAGTTGCATACTTACTAGGAATCCTGCTATAATTTAATAATGAGCTTCAAGCAAACTCAAACTTTAGAAACAGTTTCTCTTTTCCCACTATTAGATGCATATATGTTTCTATTTCCTTTTTTCTCATAAATGATGTATGTGGGAGTTGCAATTTTATTTCATTTTTCAAAATCTATCTTCCATTAAAAGTTGTCTTATATACTATTTACAGATGTCTTAGTTAAAGGGAACTTTTAAAAGGTGAAATTAATGACATCAAGCCTTTTGACATCTTCTTCCAACTTTCTAGTCTTTCTTGAGAATTACCAGATTTTCCCCCTGATTTGCCACTAAAGGAATTAAGCAACATGGAAAAGGTTTATGTATCTAACTAACAGGCAAATACAGTCCATCTAATATAACCCGAGGAACATTTAACAGTGGTATACAGGAAGTATCTTTCCCTACAAACTAAAGCTATTGTGCCAAATTCTTTTTGTTTATTAGAATTATTGTATGATTTTGTATAGAGTATTCTTTCTGCATTTTTGTTTTCTCTGCCTATCATATTTCTTTAAATCCTGCTGGTGGTAAAAAGAACCATGCATTTTATATTTGGAGTAGTCCTTGTAAAGCAGCTGCAGGATACTTTCTGTATAGTATATACAACAGGAATATAGTATATATATTCCTGTATAGTGAAGAACAGGAAAGTCTTGAGACCAATTAATTACTAATAAATTTCTTAGATTATGATGCATCAATCCTACTGTAATACCATATAGGGTATGCTAACAGAAGGCTTACAAGATGCAAGAAAAAGGAAAAACTAAGATATATAAGAATAAACTTCATTGGACTTCTGGGTCAAGATGGAGGCATAGTGAACATGGATTACCTCCTTGTACAGTCAAGCAAAAAGTACAACTAGACTACAAAACAAATATCACCCAAAATCATCAGAAAATCATGCTGAATGAAAGTCTGACAACCAAAGAATTAAAAAAACCACATTCATTCAAACAGGTGGAGGGGTGGAAATGTACAGAGAGGCACAGGGACACAGACAAGTAGAATGGGGGATCCCAGACCCATGTGTGGTGGATGAAAATTGACAGGGATACCTTGGGAGTGAGGCATCCCAGCCTCACATCAGACCACTCATGCCAGGGTTCCAGGGACAGGAAGATAAGTCTCCATAAGTTCTGGCTATAAAAACAACTGGGGGTTGGGGTGGTAGAAGAAGCTATGGGATTCCCAGGAGTATCCTCTTAAAGAGCCTGCATCAGACTTAGGACTCACTGAGACTCACTCCCTTTGGGCTTTTGCACTAGGGCAACAGCTGGAAGGGTACCAGTGCATACAGGGAGAAGTTTAGGTGTCTGGCATCAGGGGGAGTGCTGGGACTCAGCTGCCTCCCAGAAAAAACTCCAGAGGCCAGGCAGCAGCATTTTTGAGCTGTCTCCCACACAGAGCCATGAAGTGGTGACACAGGTTGTCCCTTTCTGGTTTTTACCTAAGGCTCCACCCCATCCAACTCACCAGTTTACTTTTCTACCATAGGCCACACAACTAATAGAGAGAGTCAAAGCAGATCTATTTAATACACAAAAACAAACATAGGGAGACTGCCAAAATGAGGAGACAAAGAAATATGGCCCAAATGAAAGAACACAACAAAACTCCAGAAAAAGAACTAAATGAAATGCAGATAAGCAATCTATCGGATGCAGAGTTCAAAACACTGGTTATTAGGATGCTCAAGGAACTAACTGGGTACTTAAATAGCATAAAAAATACCCAGGAAGAAATGAAGTTTACACTAAGTGAAAGAAAGAACAATTTACAGGGAACCAACAGTGGAGTAGATGAAGTCAAGAATCAAATCAACAATTTGGAACAAAATGAAGAAAAAACATTCCATCAGAACAGCAAGAAGAAAAAAGAATCCCCCCCCCCAGAAAAAAGGAGGAGAGGCTAAGGAGTGCTCTTCTTTTTTCCTATAGAAAACTGGGACATCTCCAAAGGTACCAATATTCAAATCATAGAGGTGCTGAAAGAAGAAAAGAAAGAGCAAGAAATTGAAAACTTATTTCAAAAAATAATGAAAGAAAAACTCCCTAACTTGATGAAGGAAATAGACACACTAGTCCAGGAAGCACAGACAATCCCAAACAAGATGAATCCAAAGAGACCCACTCGAAGACACATCTTAATTAAAATGGCAAAGGTTAAAGACAAAGAGAGAATCTTAAAAGCAGTAAGAGAAAAGAAGAGTTACCTACAAAGGAGTTCCCATAAGACTGTTAGCTGATTTCTCAAAAGATGCTTTGCAGGCTAGAAGGGACTGGCAAGAAGTACTCAAAGTGATGAAAAGCAAGGACCTACAGCCTAAATTACTCTATCCAGCAAAGCTTTCATTTAGAATGGAAGGGCAGATAGAAGTGCTTCCCAGATAAGGTAAAGTTAAAGGAGTTCATCATCACCAAGCCATTATTATATGAAATGTTAAAGGGACTCACTTAAGAAAAAGAAGATCAAAACTATGAACATTAAAATAGCAAAAAAAAACTTTACAGCTATCAACAATTGAATCTAAAAAAATGAACTAAGCAAACGAGCAGATCGGAAAGAGAATCAGAGCTGTGGAGATCATTTGGAGGGTTATCAGTTGGGAGGAGGAAGGGTGAGAATAGGGGAGATGGTGCAGGGATTAAGAAGTACAAAGTAGTAGGTACAGAACAGGCAGGGGGATGCTAAGAACAGTATAGGAAATAGAGTAGATAAAGAACATACATGCATGACCCATGGACATGAACTAGGGGCAGGGATTGCTGGAGGGAATGTGGGCCCAGTACCAGGTGGAGATGCCCAATAGCCAATAATTTTAAAGAAAAAAGAAGAAGAACAAACATCATTGACTTGGCTACACAAATAATGACTGTCTCAATTATGAGGAAATATAGAATAATGATATCAGAATCTACAATTTATTTTTAATTGAAATTTATTGGGGGGGACATTGGTTAATAAAATTATATGGGTTTCTCATATAAAATTTTGTAGTACAGAACATGTATGTTGTATTGGTATTCACCACCCAAATTCAAACTGCCTTCCATTACCATTTATTTCACCCCCTTACTACTTCTCCATCCCCCTTTCTTTGGTAACCTTCATACTGTTGACTCTGTATATGAGTTTCTGTTTGTTTTTCTTGTTTATTCATTTGTCCCAAAGTTTATATACTTATTGTAATACCAATGTCTTAAGAAAAATTTAGCATATATATACACATATTTAATTCCATTCAAGAGTATGGGATCAACTGTTCCAAAGTATTCCTTTAGTTTAAAAATTGGCCACTTACAAAAAAATGACAAATTTTCCCATTTGTGGGCTATACCAGGTAGGTACAATGGCTTTTCTGAGTGGATGCTGTCTATACAGGCATATTTGTATTAGAGTTTACTTCATATTATATGATAAACATTTTGATACTATTTCTATCAGCATTCAATGCCAATAGGAAGACACAGAAATAGTCTGAGGCAGAGGACAGTGGGTTTATAGAGCTCTAAGACATAATTTGATTATAAATTTTACCAAAATACCTTCAACTTCCTAACCCTCTAAATGTTAGTGCTCTTGAGAAATAACAAAGTTTTATGTTGAGATATGAAAAATGTTAATTTGTGTATAGAATTGCTGTCTCAGTCTCTTTTTACTGAATTTATTGGGCTAACATTGGTTAATAAAATTACAGCTTTCTGTGGTACTGTAATATATCATCTACATATTGCATTGTTTGTTCACCACCTAAGTCAAATCCTCTTCCATTACCATTTATTCCCCCTACACCCTGGTCTACCTCCTCCCGTTCCCCTTCCCCTCTGGTAGTTACCCCACTATTGTTTGTTTGTTTTTGTTTTTTTGCCTAATCTCTTCGTCTTTTTTACCCATTCACCCTCTATTTCTGCTCTACCAGCTGTCAGCCATTTTTTAAAAAGCTTTGTAGGTAATAAATTACACCTTGATAAAAAGCTATGAAGTTGAAGTTCAATTTTAGTTTTCTTATATTTAATTTAGTCTTACAGAAAGCTTTGCAAAGTATCCTGAGAAACTAGTTCTAAAAAATAATCACACACACACAAAGAAGAGCAAAACCAAATGTCTTATTTTGGAAAACTTACTATCACTTCTAGTGATTTTCCCAGAATAAATGTAAGGATAGTCAATATAAACATTATTGTATGTGAGACAGTATTTCCTATGGTAAAAATTAGGAGAGCCAAATTTTACTCCAAAATTCCATTAACACTTACTGAATGATTTAAAGGGCAACTGAAAATTCCAGTTTGGTC